CCTGTTCCAGAGGAGAGCTGTGCTCACGAGCCACAGTGCATAAGGCCTGAAATCCCCTGGTTAAAACATACATTGCCAGAAATGAGCAAAAACTAAAGTAAACAGTTTACACAGAGGTGAGCATCTGCTGATTGCTGATCTACACAGACAAAATGAGTATCTGTTTGAAAATGGCCTTGTTTTGCCCTTGCCTGCCTTTTCTTTATACAGTGGAATAGCTGACTCCTCATCAAGGCAGAAGGCTCCACTACTTATGTTTCCACAGTGCATTTTCTCTTGTGAACAATGCTCACTGCCCCGAGAGTCTAATTATCACCTAAGAGATGTTAACAGCCAGATCATTGGAGCTTCGGAAAGGTTTTGATCAAATACAAGCAAGATGTAGTTTGTATTTTGCTGCCCTGTATTCCAGCAGCAGCTGGTCTCCTGAGGTAGTAAAGTGTGGACCAAGTTAATGAATGTAAATATGCTTCTGTTAGATCTTTTAATCATGAATGTAATTGCAGCTGGTAGTCTTCTCAATTTTTATATATACAGTATGTGATTGGATTTCTTTCTTTTTCTTCTTCAAATCTATTGCTAGTGCTCCTCTCCTCAGGGGATTATCCAGAAGAAAGATCTTGTCTTTCCAGAGTGAACATTGTGAACCCTTACTGTACTGATTCTTTCAGTATTAATTTTCTAGTTTAGCAATCACATTTCTGTCCCTCCCTACAACTGCTTTTGCCTTTGTTATGGCTGGCATAAGGAGGATACAGGTGTAGCAACAGGTACAACAAACCCAAGTGTGGAGTGGGAGGAATTTACTTTTGGTTTTGTCTGTCTCTGATCCATGCCTTTCATGCCAGCTCTGGCACTTTTCTGTAGGTTGACTGGAATAACAGGATGCACAACAAGCATCAGCCCAGTTTCTCAGGAAGTCTAACAAGGGGAATTTGAACCCAAATACCTGCATCCCACAACTGACTGAGAGATGTAGCTTTGCTGTGTTTGAGCTAATGGATAATAAAAACCATCATCAGGATACATGGAGCAAACAAATGAAGCAGTATTGTCTCAGGATACATGGAGCAAACAAATGAAGCAGTATTGTCAGTTCCTGGGATGCTAAAAGCTTTCCAGATCTCTTGCTTTTGTACACACCCTCTCTTTGGGATGAAAAATCGTAATACACGAAGCTGAGATCCCACAGAGCATTCAAAGAAGTGGATTGCAATGACCCTGCAATCCTCCAGCTCCCGTTGGCAAAATGCTCAAAGAAAACTTGAATTCCTATGTGAAAAGACAGTCAGAGGATTGAATGGCTCAGGCTGTGGGATATGGAGCCTCATATAACACAGTCACCAGCTCTCATCATCCCAGGTTGGTAGTGACTGAAAGCCTCTCCAAGCTCAGCAGTTTGCCAGTGTATCTGAAAGAACTGGTGGCCTCAGCCCAGCGGATCTCAGTGTGCAGAGGCTTAATCACAGCATGCTCTGGGGATGCAGACTGCCATTGGTAAATTGTTATTCAACAATTCTGCATTCAGAATGTGGTTATTTTAGCAGAGCTGTGCTGCTAAACCCCTTTTGGAAGAGAACTCACACTGGCAAGTGTTCCTCTGCCTCTATAACTTAACCCATTTCCCTGGACAGAATAAGCTATTCACACAACTGTATAGCTATCCACAAGTTTTTGCTGGTATTGCTATTTGGCTGACATCTTATCTTATTATTCTCACAGCACAGCTACACCAGCAAAACCTTTCCATGTAATATAAGCCTATGAGGAGAAAAATCCTCTGTCATTTTGTTGAAGGCGGTATTTCATAGTCAAGCCTGAGGCAAACTTAAGCAAAGCGCTCTATAGATACAAAATTGTAATCTCAATGCAAACCCCAGTGTTCCAGTTATGTATGCAACAGCACAAGGGGAGTGGCTTTAAACTGACAGGGGAGATTTAGATGAGACATTAGGCAGAAGTTCTTCCCTGTGAGGGTGCTGAGGCGCTGGCACAGGGTGCCCAGAAACTGTGGCTGCCCCATCCCTGGCAGTGTTCAAGGCCAGGTTGGACACAGGGGCTTGGAGCAACCTGCTGTAGTGGAAGGTGTCCCTGTCTGTGGCAAGGGGTTGGAACTGGATGAGCTTTAAGGTCCTTTCCAACCCAAACCATTCTGTGATTCTGTGAACATCACCTGCAGGCCAGGGGTACTTTGTATGCCATGTTTGTGTAAGCAGTGAATATAAGCTGTTAAATTGGAAATGTAAATACCAATGGCAAGTACTGTAAGTCCCCCTGGAAGGAAAGTTGTGTGTGCAGAGAATTGCCTTGGGAGGATGTGCTTGTGCCAACCCTCAGCCTCAGTCATGCCACCCCACCAGAGGCGGCAGTTGTTAGCCAGACGTGGTGATCGAGAGCCTGTCTGGCTCTCAGGGAGAGTGGGGTTCTTCCTCCGTTGTGGAGGGATGTGGGGGTATTCCCAGGCTGTAGGGGGAGCAGGAGGAATAGTCCCACTCTGTGCTTTCTTTGAAGAGATGCAAAGGGTTCTTCTGAGGGCTTTGGAGAATTGTAGTGTACACTTGTAAGCACATAATTAGGCCTATCTGCAGTAGAGCTGCAGAGGAGCTTGGTTGCCTTTCAGCCAGTTAGGACACCTTCAAGGTCCTTCAAATAAAAGTTGAGGCAATAACAGTGGGCCATATTTAAGAAAAGAATCTCAAGGATTTATTAATCAAAAAGCTGCTTTTCAAAATCACATTGCCACTCTTCTGGTAGTTGTAAGTGCCCCTGCCAGCTGCAGGCAGGGGCTATCATTTACCACCCTCAGAAGCAGATGAACCCATGGTTTGTTAGAGCGTGATATCCCTTCTCCACACCCACGGGTGCTCTCCCTGTGAAATACCCACTGGGTATGTCATTGGGCCTTACACTCGTGCAGATTTGCCATCTCTTTCAGCCTCATAATGTACTGATTGAGACCCAGCTGAGAATTCCTGTGATGGTTGAAGTTTCGAAGACTCAAATATCCCTGACAACCCAAACCAGTCTGATTTATGATTCCTGAGAGTGCAGCTGAAAGGGAACAAGAGGATTCCTGTAATTAGAAATATCTTTGCTATTCCTTGCACCTCTCTTGGCAGTGCCTGGGACAGGTCACTGTCAGAGACAGGATGCTGGCTGGCCTAGACAGAGCAGTGATGGATTCAGAGCAGAACCTTTCCAGCACAGCTCAGCTAATGAATTCTGCAGTCTTTGTTAGCTTCCTCAGTATGCTGATTCACTTAAGGAAAGAAATTGTTTCTGTGACCTAGACCATCACTTTGACAATTCCTGCTGGCTATTTCTGTATGCCTGCTTTAAATGAACTGTGGCTGCTGTGAGGTTGGCAGAGAGTACTAGCGCCGTTTACTATAAAATACCTGCACCTTCTATTATGCATGTTACATATTTTCCTTTTCTTTAAGAAACGGTATTAACAAAAGCGTTAACTGCAGGCTATCTCATGCTGTGTTGCTCTCAGGCTGTAGCAGAAGAAGTTGAAACCAATTAGAATTAACCTACTGTTTTCCAGTCAGCCAAAAGATGAGTAACAGTGCCCATGATGTCTCCAGTTGTGCTGTCAGGAAGGGCTGGTGTTGGTTACAGTAACAGCAGAATGAGTAGCACCCTATTTCTCAGGCTGCACTGCCTGAGCCCCACTCCTGTGGGGTTTTTAAGAGCAAACTCTAACCCCTGCCTTAGGTCTGACTCCGGACACTGTGCCACATGCAGAATGCACTGCAGCATGGGTATCTTGATGCTGGCCTGGCCTGTGAGACCAGTTGCTTTTAGATGCACACCCTTTGCTGGGTTGGTTGCATACAGCTTTCAGTAATGTCTTGCTTTCCAAGGAAGTAATGTGTTTTAGACAGAAGCCTGGCATTTTGTTACGCCTGCCAGGTTGTAAGGGGGTGCATATATGCATATAGATATTTGGTGTTTAATAATTGAACCTGGCTATATCAAGGTTGTCTCTCAGGTTTAAAGACAGGACATTGTTACAGGAAAATGGGATGTTTTCCTGTGCTGAAGACAGAGTTTTCTTCCTGAGCTAATCCTGGTGTCTGCAGCTGCCTTCTAGATATCACCTCCTAAAAGGCAGGGAATGAACTTCTGCACATCTGTAACAGCTACATTAAGTACCGTGGTTTATTGTAGAATTATGGATGATGATGGCTGGATTACTAAATTGTAAATCAGTCAGAGGCATTCTGATGATATTCTAAACCATGAGAGAGAGACTCATGCAGGAAGAGGCAGTGATTTATTGCACCAACTGGTAACGCATCCATCCCCAATTATTTTTATTTATCATTCTTTTGAAAAGATTTCAACCCTTCATAAAAACAAATTTAAAAGAAAAAGAAATCTGTAACGATGATAAAGTTTTGCTATAATAAAAATTGACACTCCTGCGCTGTGATTTCCAGTGATAGGAAAGCAGAGAATAAGGAACTTAAGATACACAAACTTCACAGTAAATTAGTTGAATGATTGCCCTTGTTTAATTGTCTTTTACAAGCAAATGAAGGGAATTTTTTCCTTTTTATTCCTAAATCTGTTCCTTTCAAAGTGTCTCACACTATCTGTAGTTTTAAAACATTGGTACCCAGGATTTGGAATGCTTAGCAAGTCATCCGTCATCCGTTTCCAAGGCATTAGCAGCACAGACAGGATTTATTTCAATCTCTGCAGTTGATTCTTTGATCCGGGACTTGCTTAAGTGCATTCCAGTGCAATTAATTAGAAAAACAGTATAAGACAGTGGCAACTCCGAGTGATCTTAAATGTAGAAGTGGCTGATTAGTAGCTCTGCTTTCTTGGGGATTATCTATTTGTTGCTTGACAGCATCTGCTATTCCTGAGCAAGGGAAAGCCAGTTAATTGAGAAGGGGGAGCTTTGGTACTCTTCGTAAGCCACTAATATGACCATTTGCAAGAAAAGCAGCAGTGTGGGAACCCCTCCCAGCACTGGGTAAATGGAATCAGGACCAGTCATCTATGCCATTAGGTGCATGTAGCTCACATGGATTTGTTTTGCTGGGCAGCAGTTGTTCCCTTTCTCTAGCAGCCCTACCTGGCTCACAGAGATGCTCTTTGGAAGCCAGTCCTTGCAACAGCTTGCATTGTGGTTGCTTCCAAGAATGGGCTGCACTGCTTTTTATGTTTTAGTTCCTTGGGATGTCTTGTTTCCTTATGTACCCTGGCTGATTGGAAGTTACAATGTTTGCTTGTCTGTCCAGGACATGTCAATCTAGTTTCAAAATCCTGTGCTTCTCAGTTCAGTTCCTGAGTCTTCCCACTCTGATCAATACAAGTAGCCATCCATCAGGTTTTGACTGGAACAAGATTGAGCCGCAAGCAACTCGTGGGTGTCTGTGTTGCAGCTGCAGCTGCCTGACACAAATATTGCATCCTTTTGGCTGAGGCAGGCAGTTGCTGAGGAATTCAGTTGTCCTGCATAAGCAATCAATATCTGCTCCTGTGACTACTCTTGCTCCCTTCATCTTCCCGTATGGTTTCTTTATAATTTAATCTTTCTCAAGAAGAAATACTTCCTGTCTGTCATGCTGTTACACTTCTTGAATCTTAGTGCCAGTGGAACTCCTGTGATGCGCAAGAGAAGCTGGCTTACAGATCAAAAGAAAATGCAAATTCCAGCCTAGCTGCTTTGTTTGCAACTGATGCAGATGAATATCTTTCCATATTGCATAGCTACTTCTGCTTTGTCTTTGCACTATTTCAACTTGCTTCTGGTTTTCTTTTTTTCTGTGTGACAGTATCCTAATCGTTCCCAAACTGCATCCTGAAGTCTGCAGGAATCAGATGCAGATATCCTGCTTTATTAGGTAAAATATGCACTTGTTTTATTCACTGCATCCATCTTGACACCTGGGGAGGCTTGAATCCCTGGCTTTCTCTCTCTTCCCAGGGTAAAGACAGCACAAAGCTGTGCAGATTTCTATGCAGAACCAGTGCATCTCAGTCTCGATGACAAGTAGGAGACATAAATTTCAGCCTCCTCGATAACCTGGCAGCCTCCACTGGCACTTTATTAGGGGACAGCACTTACCCCAGGGAGCTAGAATAAGACCCCAAATGTTTTCCACTTAACCTGTCTAGTGCTAGGGTAAAAACCGCTATCTTCTGCTACCTCTCCAGGGCCACACTGACACAGAGATGAAAAGTCTCATTGCAAATGTCTCTTCAGGGGCTGATTTGTTTCTTGCTTGTTTTTAATGTGTCCAGCCTACAGGGAGAAACTCAAAAACCTAATGGGTACAGTACTCTTAGAGCAAATATTTTACAGTAAATATGGCTGCAGTGTGTGACTAAGATCTGTATTTTGCGTAGTGCTAAAATCAATAAAAATGAAAGTCCCTGCAATAGAGCCCATAAGTGAAGGGAGAGAACATGTTTCTTAGGGAGAATGGCAGTGTTTTCTCATCCTGAACCTCTTACCTTGATGACAGCAAAGGCAATAATAAAAGCTAAAGAATGCAAAGAATAGGCATGGGTTGCAGTCCACATTTCTACTGTCTGTCCTCTGCCAGCACTGATGTAATCCTTCTGGCAGTGAAACTTTCCATTGCAGTCTGTCAGCATTCAGATGTGCTATTGATTAGTTGGTTTACTAAGGTCACTTAGGAATCACAACAAACCTCCTGAAACTTGGGAAAGGTAATAAATCGAAGGTATATGATTTGTAACTCGCCGTCATTTTTGGTGCCTTGCTTCAGTAGAAGACAGCAGTCAACACTTCCTAAGCGCTTGATAGGAGGAAGGTTATAATGGCAAAAGAAAGCATTTGTTTATAAACGGTGTAAGTAACATAAGCTTTTAATGGGTCCTAGAGGAGTCCAAGGCTCCAGAGGGCTCTGGAATGCCTTCCTCTCCTCCCCCCATCTGCTCCCCTCACCCTGACCCCACTTTTTTTTCCAAGCCTTTGGCCAATTTTCATCACATCTGTCATTTTGAAAAACGAGCTGAGGTTCATAACATGTCATGTGTCTTTTCATAGATTAACTTGTTTGCAAGAGACACTGCAACAGGAAATTCTTGTGCTTACACAGCAGCTCGGTTTTCTTGAAGAGCAGAGATGTTTTTAAAACCCATAGTCTGTGTCTATTCTGCTAATTGGATATAAAACAGCCATGAGGCATGAGGGTGATAGGACCGTACTTGTTTCCTGGGTGAAAGCCTATTGGTAGTGCTTTGCTAGCAAATCTGAACTGGGGTGGCGTGTGTACTAATGTGTTATGAACACAGCGAGTATCAGTGCTGCACAATACTGAGATCTAAGGTACAAACACACCCTCATTTCATTTATGGAGACAGTGAGCCTGGAAGTGTCCATTTCTGATGGTTTCAGAGGAATTGATAGCAAACCATACCTGTCTTGATGCTGCATTTGATTCCAGACACAAACCTATGTAAAAGGAATATATATGTAATAGTATTCCAACTACTGCTTTGTAGACCTACCTTTCTTTGTAGGTCAACTTTAAATAGAGACGTCTCACACAGCTACCATGTGTGCAGAGGCACATGCAGACACACAGCATTGTCTTTCCTACAGATTCCAAAATCGAGACTCAGTTGCTGCAGGAGCACACAGATTCATGTTTTCCTTGGCTCCACATCTGCAGGTTTCACCACCACCAGGATGGAGAAGGCCCTTGCAATAGTGTTTGACACTATCTGGTGTTCATAAAGCTGTGATTCTGAGCCTGTGTGTCTATTGCAAACACCAAAAGGAGAGCTTTTGTTTGAAGTTGTTCTGAGTGGATGGAGGGGTGGTTGTTCCTCTTGTGAAATGCCTGAGATGCTGCTCACTCTTTTGTCTCTTTCTTCACTGTCAGCTTCTCTCATCTTTTATAGTGCCTTTGCAAGAAAGATGTGTTGTGTTTGGTACACACAGGTACAGGCACACAGGAGCTTCACGCTCCCTGCCTGCCACTGCAGTGTGACCGTTCATTGTATGATGAAAGGCTGCATCACCAGGATTGTGAAGCATTCAAAATCCTCCACATTTTAGGAAACACACAGGGGAAGAAAGAGAGGTGTGGCCTTCCAAGCATGCCTACTCAGTTACATTGTTTTTTAACTCCCAAGTTAATATAGTACTGGTATTTTTAAGTGTATATTTAATGAATATAACACATTTTAATTCCTGCTAAAAAATATAAATATGTAATAGATTCTGAGTCTGCAGCTATTTAAATCCAGAACATGAGACCTAAGTAACCTCAGGTTCATTTACACTCTGAAATCTGCTACAGATCTACTTACACCCTCAGCCACTATTGTTACAGCTTCTGGAATTACGAGTTGACTCTGTTTTTTCATTTTTCATCTGTTCTTCCCCAAGAGGAAAAGAGAAATAGGATAGGATAGGATAGGATAGGATAGGATAGGATAGGATAGGATAGGATAGATCTGTTGGCACAGACCTAAGACCATCCAGTCCAACTACAATTATCCTGTGCACGGGAAGGGCAGCAGGAAAAGCTGCAGCCCTCAAAGCCATATAAATGCCCAGCTCTCTTTTTTCAGGAGCTGCTGGTGCTTACAGAAGGGGTAGATGGACTGAAATACCCAATTTTACCTGCTGAAACCCACCCTCGTGTATTTGGAAATATGTGCTCTGGATTACATCCAGCCAAGAGAGTCTGGAGGAGTTAATATTCCCATTTGGAAGAAGAGCATGTCAATTTGTCAGTAGTATGAGGGTATTCTCTTCTGGCTTCACCTCCTGAAGCAGCGCCAGTGTTGTTTTTCATGGTTAGCTCACAGTGGGCTGTCAGCAGCATGGCCTACAGTGAGATCAGACCCTAGAAGTCCCTGAATGAAGATCTGGAGGGTCAGCAGAGCCTGTGTGATGGTTGTTGCATTTCAAAACATCCTTTTAATACAGCAGAGTCCCAAGAGCAGCGACATCAGGCAAAACAAACCCAACTGTGCAAAACAAACCCAGTTACCAAAGCAAGCACTGACTTGCTGTAAAGACAGCCCCTTCCTTTACCGGAACAGAAAAATGTTGATGGTAGGTGTTTGCACCCACAGGCTGAGTGAGTACTGGAGAACTGCCTTTGCTGTGAAGTTTCTTGGCTTCTGGTGTTTTGTGTTGCAACCTTTATTTAAACATAGGAGACAGAAGAGACTTGGTTTTTTGTTTATTTGTTTGTTTGGGGTTTTCTTTCTTTTTTTCTGTGACTTTTAAAGGGCTGAAGAGTTTATTGTGTGTGAAATGCAGGAAGAGTCTAAATGAACACCAGATGAGAGGAAATAGACTGAGGAAAATTAGGGCTATTTGCTACCAAAGGAAGTAATCATTGTACATATATTAAATTCCAATCTCTAACTGAGAGTGTGTTTTGTTATGCAAAAAATCTGACTGTGGAGTAAGAAGGGACACCTGGAGTCTTCCCACGTCTGGGTTTTAAAAGTGGTGAGCAGGGATTTGGTGTATTGGTGGTAAATAAGGCAAGAGAGGACTTGTACTGAAGCAGGTGGTGGGGATAGCTGGAGAGTGTTCTGCACCCCACCGTAGCAGAAGGTCATTTTGTGGCTCTGTGTAGAAGGGTAGAGCAGTTTCCATACATCTGTTGTTTGTAGGTAACACATAGTATGACTTTATAGTGAGAAGATAAATTCCTTTCAAACTTTCACCTGCCACATTCTCAGCTCATCCATTAGTAGAAACCCCTGACTCACCTTTACTTGTTATTTACCTGTATGCCATTGCTGGGACTGTTCCTTTAGAATACACTGTCCATTTTCAGGGGAGATAACCATTGCCTAATAATCCTCTTAACTGTCTGTAAGGTGAGGGTTTACATGATTGCAGTAGTGGTGCTGACTGCTCTGGTTCTTTCCTTGCTCTAGTTCTTTCCTTGGTCCCTGCAGACTAATGGCAGGGTGGGTGCCTATTTTCATTTCGCTGGTAGGAGGCAAAATTACTAGTTGTTTTAGTGATAAACTATTTACAGTGACTATGAACTGAAAAAGGACCCTCACAAATGATTTGAGGAGTGTGTAATACATGGCCTTGGCTTATAAAGATGCCTTAAATCAGCCACAAATTTGAGGTTGCTACTTCTTTTAAACAAAACAGAGTGTTTCTTGTTCCTGCAAGCTGGCGGACACCCTGTTCTGTTCTGTTCAGTTAATTCAGCAAGGACACAGAAAGAGGTTTTTATTATTTTCTTCTTTAGCAGTAGAAAAATTGTAGCCTGGGGGCATGTTGCTTTGACAGATTGGGGTTATATGATTGAAGCTGACCTGTGCAGCTTCCTTCCCTTTCCCCCTCCTGGCAGGAGGAATGAAGCATTTATGATTGGAAGTGGCTATCCTTATTTTGCTCTTTATCTGATGGAAGGCCACCACAGTACCCAAGAAGGACTTCTGATAGATTTTACTTTTCCTGTGAGGGACACTTGAAAGCTCAGTGAAGAGCCCGTAGAAATAGATATTTTGGCTGTGTGGGAGGGAAGCATTTAATCACAGCGAAGAATAGGGGATTGCACAGTCAAATAAGCAGCTCTTGGTAGATTTTAGAGACTATCAGTGGGAAGAAGGGTATACTGAATAGGAATGTAGGAAAGCATAAATGGAAATGAACTGAAGAGAGATAATAGCATCATATTTAGAATCTGTCACTTCATCAGAATGTTGTTGACTGGTTATTAGCGAAAGAGAAGGAATTGTTTTTTTTAAAAAGAAGGAGAGTTTCATTTCCCTTTCATTAGCTGAGGAACCTGCTGACAGGAATTAAGGCAGAATATAACTAAAGTGGGGCTTCAGCCACCCCCTCATGTCTGCAATAAAGGGTTGTTTTTAACCCAGATCTGCTCTGTGACTGCATGTGCAGCATGGCCCTGAAAAAAAAACCAACCCAGACCAAACAAAAAACCCAAACCAGACCCAACTCTGCTGGCAAAACCAAGGCTGCTTTGTGCTGCTGCGGGAGAACGGGAAGGAGAGGTTGGGGTGGGAATCGTGTAGGCAACAGTGCCCCTGACGCCTGTGTCATGAAAATACGCCTCAAGTTAACTATTGTCCTCAATCCAGGCTGAAACAGGGGCTTTGCATAATCACTGAAGGAGACTCCTGCTCCTAAAGATGTTACGTTTTGAATTGCCAAGATAGACAAAGGAGACATTGGCAGCCCTTCACACATGGGAAACAGAGGCAGAAAGAGAGATCCGTCTGGGACACATAGGGTAATTTTGACGCAAGGGGTGCTTCCACTGATGTGTATACTCCAATTGCAGGATTGCCTTTCCTTTCTAATACTGGATTTTTTTCTCCCTGAAACTTCAGTTCTAATACAGGATTGTTTACCAAACACATGATTTCATTTTGCTCTGTTCAATAAATACAGTAGTGATTCTTTCCTCAGGCAAAACTGTGCAGCTTGCGTATAGATCTGAGTTGCAACACTGCTGTTGCAAATGCTCCAGGGATCTTCAGGTAGATTTTCCTTTTGGGAGTGCAGGGACAATAATGCAAGGAAAGGCAGAGGTGGGACTTCGGCTTCTGCTTTTCTTTGTCATCCTGGGGATCACAACCCCATGGATATATAGAAGGGGAGCTTACAAGAGTAGTAATGCTGTTCTGCCAAGCTTCACATGGGAAGAACAGGAAAAGAAGTATCTTACCGACTAGAATGTCCATTTTTCTTCTTCAAGTTTGTTGATGAAGGCCAGTGAGACTTGGCATTGCATGATCAGACTGGGGCTATTTGGGTTTTTTATGAGGCAGGATTGAGTGCAACCATCTGGGCTAGGAGAAGACCACACTTCTGAAATGAGTCTTAAGGAATATTTAACTTAAGTAGCTGTCTGGGGCACCATGCTGAAAGGAAGGGCACTCCCAGCTGCGTGTATTTTATGGGTTTATTTTATCTCTGATGACAAAAGAGAACTCAGTAGCCATGTGGTTCCTCATAAATTGCAAGGCACTGCTGACAAGTGGCACTACCCGTGTTCTCAACCATGCTGGCACAAAGTTCCCCCCACTTTCTGGCTCACGATATTAATAATGTTGCTGCTAATGAGCGATGCTTTAGCAAGATAGCTAACTTTTCTCTGCACTTAAAGGCAATCCCCAAGTTATAGTTCATGAATGCAAACTTCAGTATCTTAAGTACTTTAGGTGAATGCTTACATGGTCATTCATCTAATACCAAAGTGGCTCATCTCTCCAGTTCCCGAGGCCCTGGCCTTCCTGAAGGTGTGCTCTTTACTTTCCTGAGAGCCCAGGGAATCTGCACCTCTGAAAGTAGTATCCTTCCAGAAAGCTAAATAGAGGTTTGGGAGAATAACTTCCAGTATATCAGTGGCACATCTCATCTTAGGCGGTTTAAACTATTCATTTGCACTGCAGTCTCTGTTTATTTGTTTGTTTGCTTGGATTTAATTTAAGCTCCACTGGGGCAGCTTCCTAATGTACCTCCAGGGGCCTGGTTCCACTGCCAGTATTCCAGTTTCCAAAGATGCATCTTATTTCTGTTTTAGGAGGCAAGCTCCACTTCTTCTGCTTTTCTACGTGACAGACCTGGGAAGGGTCACATCAAATTCAGTATATTTTCAAAAAACATTCTATTCAGTATTTCTGTTGTCTATTTTTTTCTGTCCATGAGATGAATCTTAGAGATTGCTCATGGTAAAATATTTACCAGCGTATCGCTTCAACTAAGATAACAGCTCTTGAAGTGCAGGTGTGAAAGAAGAAAGACTTGCTCCTAACCTTTTCTCAGTCTATGTCCTGTTCAAGCTGTTTGTGATTCAATGGACCCTACAAGCTTTGTATTCCATATTTACTAATGGATCCCTAAAGTTTAAACAGAGGCAGAGTGAAAGAAGACAAACTGGACTCAGGCTTACAAGAATCAGATTCATGCCAGCTCTGCCACAGACACTCATTTGACTTTATGGCCATCTGGCCATCATTTTATATTGGTAGTTCCCCTGTGTACAAAATACAGTTTCTAATGGTTCTTTTTTTCCTTATCCATACTCGTATAGACTGCAGGTTTAGACAGGAATCGGTTCCTCCTGTGTCTTTGGATACCGCACAAATGAGTCCCTGATCTTAGGTGAAACTTGCAGTTTCTGTAAGCTGTATAATGATAATAATTAGCTTCTACCTGCTACAGGAAAAAAATGCAGCCTTTAGATTACATTGGTGTAAATAAAAAGTCCACTACAGTTCACAAGTGCTGGTAGTGTTTAGCATCAATGTCTGTCACTTGAACATCTGGCATTCATCATTGCTTTCCTTTTCCTTCCACTGTCATATTTTATCCCCATCTGTTAGAGGTTTCTTAGCACTGTCTCTGTAAATCATAGCTGCATCTCAGTCTGGGAAGTTGACTCATTACAGGCTGCAATGTAAATGAAGGAAAAAGAGGTAAATTTAGGGGAAGTGTTTCTCTTATGCACTCTGCCCCCTTCTTTCTCCCCATGTACACAGACAGTACTAGACAGTATTCCTAGACAGTGTGATACCCTTGCTATGAAGAGAAATGGAAAAGCTTCCAAAAATAGGAAATGTCTTTATCAGGCCTAGTTCTGAAGGCAGAAAGAGGAGAAGAGCTGGAGTCCAAGTGGACACCCACTGCCATTGCTGGAAAGATTACAAAATTTACTGCTTTGGAACAACCCATCAGCAAGTTAATAATCATTTGGGAAAGCAAACATTCCTTAAAAGTTAGACTTCCCAGGCAATGTCTTTGATGTATTTACTTAAAAATAAATTACGCTTATTGCAGTAATTGAGTTTTCTGCTAGGGATAATAATATTGAGGGTGCTAAGGAAATACAAGTGTGTTAATGTTAGCCAAAGCAGAATTTTTACCTTTTTTAGCTTTCTTTTTCCCTAAAAATATGTGCAGTTCCCTCACAATGGCCATCACACTGAGCTCTCCCAAGCCCTGCTGGTGGCAGCAAGCCATGTAGCAGCATTCCAAAGATGCATTTCCGGTGGGGAAATGATCCACCACCACCTCTATATGAAACATTTCCAGTAGCATATGTGCGCTATCCTGACACAGCCCCAGTGCACAGTGACACACAGCCCTGTGCACTGGGAGCACATGTGGGCTTAATTCCCTGCCGGCTTTAGCAACTAGAGAAGGTATTTCCTTGTTCTAGAAACATTCAAGAGACACCACAGTCCCAAGCTGCTAGAAGTCAAGGGAACAGGCCCATTTCCCTCTACAGAGGGCTGTTGCAGACTTCCATCACGATCAGTCCCAGAACTTTACCCAGGCACAAGGTGGGCTGAAGCTGGAGGGTCTCTCTGTACAAGGCAGCTGTCATGTTTGCAGTTCAAGGGACAGCTTGTATTCTTGGGGACTTCATTATATTTGGAACAGCAAGAATGCCCCATGTCACCATGTGTGTTCCTCCTGATTGTCTTGCTTTTTCCTCCTTTTAGTCTCATGTGTCTTAAGTTTGTTGGAACCCACAGCAGACTAGCAGAGAGTGACCTACGGCTACTATTACTGGTTGTCAACTCATGCCTTCTCTTTGTACAAAGCATATTGCATTCCCGATTTCCCATTATTTTTCACTTATGTTTCTGTGGTGCTATCCTGCTACTTACTGCAGACTCCCACATTTCAACTCGGCAGCCAGATCAATCAAGCAGTAGGTGTCCTGGTCAGCATCTGCATGAAGTGAAAATGATAGCCCAGCTTGTAAACCAATTGCTGAGCTGTCGTGAAGAGCAAGCCCTGGCTGATTCAGAGGGCACGTGGCCATGTGAAAGGCCAGGCAGTCCCTGAAGTCACAGCTGCTCTCTGAAGCTGGTAGATTGGTCGAATACTGATGATTTGTTCTGGCATTTGCAGTCTGTGGCTGAAAACAAATGTCCTGGTGAAAGCATTGCTACTTGGCAAGACTAAAATGATGGGCTATGAGAAAGAGAAACACAGGTCTAATGGTGCACAAACTACTTTGCAAAGATACTGCAAGAAGAGGATGACCCAAGAGTACAGTGGAATGGATGCTGTGGTGTTGATTTACTCTTGTCTTTCTGATATCTGCACTGTATCTCAGCTTGCCAAGCATCTTGTTACTAGCAGAGTATTTATTTTCCTTTCTCTTCTTCTTGTAGAAAATTCTACTACATCACACTTCTGAGAGACCCCGTATCCCGTTACCTCAGCGAATGGCGTCACGTCCAACGAGGAGCTACTTGGAAGACCTCCTTGCACATGTGTGATGGCAGGACACCAACTCCTGAGGAGCTGCCGTCATGCTACGAAGGCACGGACTGGTCAGGCTGCACACTGCAGGAGTTCATGGATTGCCCGTATAATCTGGCCAACAACCGCCAAGTGAGGATGTTGGCTGACTTGAGCTTAGTGGGCTGCTACAACATGTCTTTCATCCCAGAGAACAAGCGAGCACAGATCCTGCTGGAAAGCGCAAAAAAAAACCTCAAAGACATGGCCTTCTTCGGTCTGACAGAGTTCCAGAGAAAGACTCAGTACCTGTTTGAGAGAACTTTTAATCTGAAATTCATCCGGCCCTTTATGCAGTACAACAGTACCAGGGCAGGAGGGGTAGAGGTGGATAATGACACCATCCGCAGGATCGAAGAGCTCAATGACTTGGACATGCAGCTCTATGACTATGCAAAGGACCTCTTCCAACAGCGCTACCAGTACAAACGGCAGCTAGAGAGAATGGAGCAGAGGATAAAGAATCGGGAAGAGAGGCTTCTTCACCGGTCCAATGAAGCGCTTCCCAAGGAAGAGACGGAAGAGCAAGGACGCTTGCCCACTGAGGACTACATGAGCCATATTATAGAGAAATGGTAGCCTAAGCAGACTTTTATATTAATGATTCTTCTAGGGTTTCCATATAAAAGATCATGGAAGTAAAATTGCAAAAACCAACAAGAACTATTTTATTTAAAAGCAAGTCTGTAAAACAGAAGGTAGATTGCTTCCTTAAGCAGGGGGTCTTTTTACTGTTTCTTACAAGACCAATGAGATTCTTAAAAAAAATAATAAAGACATAAAAAAAGGGTCAACATGATATTGCAGAGGTAAACCATGCACAAATGGAGTTACCCACTCTTAAGGCCAATCACGAAAGAATGTTTCTTATCCTCACAATTCAAACACCAGTGGCAAAAGCAGGATTTTTAAGATCTGTTTATGCCTTGAGCATAATGACATAAAGATACAGAATTAAAAACCAAGGAAACGGAGGTTTTCTTCTGTGGGTGTTTTTGAAGCTGGGATGGGAACTGCATTGTTTGTAAGTAAATGATAATGGTGACTAAGCTGACGGTGTGCTATCCTGTCGGGCTGTGATCTGAGCACAAGGGCGGTCACTTTGTTTCAGCTGGCAGCCACTGCCAGAATGCAAACCACCATAAAAACCAAAAGAAGAAGAAAAACATCAGAGGACAAGAAACATTAAAGCAAATTGACTGTGGCCTAGGATATGTACTTAGCACAGAGGTTTTGATACACTGCACTGGTATCACATATACATACGCAACTTCATCACAAAGATAATAGGAAATTCATGCACAGAGCTTGCAGATTTGTTTCACAGGTAGGTCCCAAAACAAGTTAAAAGCAACCAAATTCCACATAGGCTCAAATGTGCACTCACATGCCATCCTGTCATCCTACACAACTGCCGCTCATGCTGTCACCAGTATTATGTGTTAACAGCACATGGAAACCCTTTTCTAAATGCAAAGAAAAAAGGAAGAATTTAAATAGCAATACTCCCTCATAAATCTGCACGACAGGTTCCGGGGAAGAGCCTGCAAGTAATTAGTCATTAATGGGAAGATGATGAGGGGGTGATTTTGTTTTGTTTGTTGCTATGTGAAGTGCTGAACTAGAACAAGCATACAGATGTACCTCTATCTGTATTTTTTCAGTTATTTTTACTTGCTTTTATCAAATGATAATGGCCATCAGCCTGCTTCCAGCGAGGTCACCAGGACTGATTTAAGGGAAACAGGATGGGGCTCTCTTCCAGAGCTGTGAAAATTTCTGACTGTGGGTCTGAACTCATTATGAGATGGTGCACACTGTCTTTTGGCACCATGCCTGTTCTGCAGCTCTTACTTTACATGAACAAGCTGTGTTCATAAACTGGAAAGGGGAATCATGGATGTTTTTTTTAGTCTCAGACCACTTTCAAAGCAGAAATCTTTCAATGCTGTTTTTTAGGGACTGATGTGAGTTTAATCCTCCAGTGTGGTGACAGTCTAACCAGGTTCTGCTTACTGCCTTTTGAGTCATAGAACAACGACTTCTCCAATTCCTCTTCCCACTCACCAAATTAAAGTATGGCTTACTTTTTGCTGTTGCAAGCACTTCTTTGTTTGGGTGGAAGCATGGAAATGAAGCACTTTTTGCCTGTTTCATGTCTCACCCCGTTATTACTGAGCCTGTAGGGCCTGAACCAGCTACTGTTTAGGGTAAACGATGACCCAGATGGAATATAATTTGATTTTCAAAGGCCATGCTAACTGCAAATCAAATATGGCATTGAAATCACTGGAGGGGAGGCAGAGAGCTGATGCATTCAATTTTAGCATGTCACTTTTGCAGTGTTCCTTTCCCATCACACATAGCTACTGAAGTTCTGCTTGTTTTGTATTTTATTTCTCTCTCTGCCTCTGTATACTGTTTCCAACAGTTTCGTATCACACTGAGTTTTGCAAAGGAGGGGCTGCTTTAAGCAGAGGAGCTGCCTTGTTTCTTCTGTGTACACCCTGGGGGATACACCTTGCTTCTGGAGATGTTCTTCTCCAAAGTCAAAATGACTAAAAACTTAGAACATGCAAACAGCAATTTGGGCTCAAATACAACCCTGTTACAGCCCTGATCCAAAGTCCACTGAAGGCAGAGAATGCCTTTCCTAGTGAATTCAAATGGGTTTTGACCAGGTCTGCATCTTGGGGCTGCAAAGTACACAAGCAAATGCTCATCCATATACAAGGACAGTAGGATGTTGTTACCCATGCATTCAACTGGTACCAGTATTTGGTAGTGGTGTTGCTGTCTGTAAGGTTCTGTAAGTGCTTCTGCCACAAAATGGCCCCTGTTCCCAGAGATGTATAGCCTGGCCATAAGCATTTTCTCCTAGCTGAAAAGTGGGAAGCAAAATGAAGCAATTTTCGGTTGTTGGCTTGGGGGCAGAAGGTATTACAACTCCATTTGCTCATCTTTGAATTCCAAGACTGGGAGGAGCTATGTCTGCTAATTCCCAGCACTTTTATGTGTTGCTGTAACTAAAGAAAACATTTATATTTTAAAAAATGCAATTTTACAGGCTGTTTACCCACAAAACCCATACACAAGATATAAAAAGCAACTGCTTTATATGCACAGTTCCCAGCTTTCCCCAAAGGCAATTCACTGTGCGTCCTGTGTTACGGATCCATCATGCACAAGTGGTTCCTGCAGCTAATCCATATTTGAGGTGCACATGAGCACGGAGCTGTGTAGTGTATGCCCAGGCAGGTCCACATACGCTGGCACTGATTCTGAGAGCCATTCTGTACCAAATTCTGCTCTCAAGGGTGACAATAAACAGGACTGTGCATGATTAGGACTGGTAACATTTCTTGGCTTGGTTTTCCGGAGTTGTTTCTATGTTACAGGCTCTGAGTATCCAGCTGGATTCCAACTGATCTGTCTGCAGGGTCCCCTAAATCAGAGGCAGCCTTTGACCTTAGAAGCATGTCAGTAGAAGACCTTGTTCCAACATTCTGTTTGTAATATATTACAGTAGCAAGCAGAAGAAATGAAACTATATTGAAAACTGTCTTGTTAACAGTTTCACTTCAACCCACAAAAGGAGGGGTGACCTCAGTCTAGCAAGCACTGAGGCAGAAACGTCTAGACTCAAAATGTGTGTCCAGCAAATGCCTCAATTCCTCCACCTGTACATTGGGAATAACAAATTTATGCATTTTAAAGAGGTAATCCAAGCCATGAAAAGTATAGGGCACTTTGAAACAGAGTTGGAAATATAGTGAATGACCGAAAAGCCATCCCCTCACCCTGCCTGCTGTGCTGGTCTCTTTACAGCTGTAGGCCATGGGTTCATTTATTGCAAGTGCTGTGTGCCAGAGCATGGGTTGCAGGACGTACCTGGCACTATCTTCTTCCTTTAGTGGGTTTAAGGGAGCTTTTTTAACATAATGTGAATGTAGGGTTTTTGTGATTTATATGTACTACAGTTTGAAGTGGTACAATTAATTTTTAGGACTGATTATTTGATGCTACAAGAACATGAAAAAATGTGTGTGTAGTTTTAAAATGAATGGAGAACAATGGCTTTAAGTCACTCTGGCAGAAGTATTGGCCAGATAGTACATTCTTGTTCAGTATCTGCCCCTTTCTTCCAAAACATTTTTCCTATGACTTTCAGATGCACTCAGACCTTCTTCACTACATAGTATTTCTTGAGGGGCCTGTCAGTGCATCATGATCCAGGTCAGGATAAGTAAGTGTTGGGTACAATGAGGGCAGGAGAGGCAGTTCCCCTGGAATTCACATTTTACCTGGTTGCATGATTGTCCATCCCACAGTGTTTCTGTTATGGAAAGACTTTACAAAGGCTGGAGCTGTGTAAGGTATTTCTGTGCAGAGCCTTGCACATCTGCCAAAAAGGGTGATGCTCAGAGTGAGGAGTTACCAGTAGAAATCAGAAACAGAATTCTTGCTTTGGGAGGGTGGAAAGGCCAAGACATGCCGCAGCGCTAAGATCTTTGTTGCTTTTAGTCGCTGGAACAGTGTTAACTTTACTGGGTGTTCTTGCTGAAGGAGACTTTTTAGAGCTCATTTGTCTCATCCCACCTGGCTGTCTTGGAGTTTGCCTCCTCCAAAGTTTTCCACACAGTCAGATGCCACCTCGTACCCTACCCGGGTCACAAAACACAGGATTGGCCAGTTAAGTTGCAAACCCAGGCTGTCATGGGGCTCCAAGTCATCAACAAAAAACCTCTCACAAATGGGTCAGTGAATTTCTGACTTGTCTGAATTTCTCCCTTTATGCCCAATATTGTGGAGCACTTGATGGGTTTGCACCCCAGAGTCCCCTGTTTGCTTACAATAGTGGGATGGCAACAAAAGCAGCATAAGGAAGATCCCAACAAGCTTTTGAATTCTCTCCATGGGCTGTCCTGTAGGAACAGAAAGGGCAGCGCCATTGCTGAGAGTATGAGCAAGACAGAAGGACCACCACAGTGGCAGACAGACACATGGCACTTAGAAGTTTTCACTCTGAGCCCATCAAATCACTTCACAGAGACACCCCAACAAGCTACAGAAGGTAATGACTAACATTACAGAACAGCCTGATGGGGATTTATATCCTGGGGTTAAAAGCAGCTCTAGCTTCTCACTGGTGTTCAGAGTTACTCAGACCCCCTTAACAGAATTTTCAGAATGTCACAAAAATGGGTAGTGCTACGGGAACTGGCAACACAGACTAATGCTAAATGTTGTATTTCCAGGGGTATAGCTTGGAATGCAACTCACAATATCTGCTGGATTCGAATCACAGGGTTGGCTGTGTTATCTTGTTCTTCTTGTCTTTACTAATATTTAGCAGATCATGTCCCAGTGGCAGAAGCGAGTGCAGGATTTGCTGGCTGATCAGCAGTAGAGCCGAGCCTTGAAAGCACAGGTCAGTTAGCAGCAGTTCAGATACACCACCGAGCAGCGGAGCTCGTGTCTGTGCACACAGTCTGAGCTCCCTGTAGCTGTTTATTTTGCCCCATCTACAGGAGTTCTGCCAAACTGAATGCAGTGCTGATAAGCACGTGAGTATTAAAGCCTGTGTCATCCCAGCTGCAGGTGGTTTTCTCTGTAATTTTTAACCATGCAAGCTGAGGAAAATCAAGATTTGCAAATGAGTCTGTCTCATCCCTCAAAGCCCCCCACTTCCCCCTCCCTCTTCTCCCCCAGGTGTCTATTCTGCAGATTGAGTTGAGAGAGTTGTACTATAATGAATGATTTTATATTCAAATGGTTTACTGAGCACGATTTGTTTTGTACATATTGGAATATGATTTAACTTATTTTTATTGCCCCTTTTCATCTTTTTTTTCATGACAAGACAGAAATCCCCACCCTCTCTCAATGTGAAGTTTGTCTGTGTTTGTGTGTAGTCTGCCAGGCAAACACACAACAGCCACAGGATTTCTTACACTCCCTGCTGGTATCCAATTTTACTTTTCATTGTCATCTGCTTTTGTCTGAGGCTTTGCTTAGATTGTCTCTTCTTTCCTCTCTGCTGCACAGTCTGCACAGGGAAGGGAGAGGGCAATACAGGCAGGACTCTCTTCCTCTCCCGTTTCTTGTGTGCTTTACCTACCCTAGTACCAAGGAACTCAGTTCGTCT